ATTAAATAACTTTACTCGAAATTTGGTGCGTAACTGGTCAAGTAGGAAAATATGTGCACATATGCCAATAAAATTGGTTTTCCTACTGCTCTAATGCCTTTAGAAAGCCTAATACTTAGTAAGAAAAGGATTATTTCATTAAAGATAACAAATGTAGTTACCGCATCCCAAAGTAAATGCCGTATTTTGCATTCAGTGAGATATTTATCTCTAAAAATACACTTTTGATGAAATAACCTCGATTCGCTTTGGAGTGATGCGAATTTCAGCATTTTTCTGTGTAAACTTGGATTTTAAATAGCCTGTCACTCTAGCCTGCTTAAAGTGCATCTCTGCATCCAACGGCATAAACTTTCTGAGGTTACCTGCAGTGGCAGGATAGCAGGAGGTGAAAGCGTGGATCAACATTTGGTTGAATATAAACTATCCTCATTCCGACCTGAAACATTGTGCTTATCACGCGGTGTGCAGCCCTATTGGTCAGGATAAACTCAAGCACAAGCGACAAACAGTTAAATTAACTGGCACATTAAAATGCAAGCCTAAGCAACAAGGTGTGCATTTGACTCTGTTTCATGATCCTTATGTCCGCATTATTCTGAACGTGTTTACCATGCCCCAACTAGTATCTTACATACACTTCCAATTTGTGCTCGGCGGAAGATATCTAACAGCCAAATGTTGCGGACAATTACTTTACATACAATACTGAGATAATCTTTTCATCAATCTAATCGCACTGACACAGAATCCCATACCTCGTTTTTGATAAAGATAGCTGCTGTCTAGGGAGAAATCCAAGAAGATAGATTTCGAGTTTTGGCCCCGCGGGCTAGATACTTAATTGTAGAAAATCAGGCGAAAATAGGTTGCAGTTAAATCAAGTGGTGACCCTTTAGTGTAAACTACTTGAAGGCGAAAAAACCGTGTATCTAAACTCCCTTTTCCAACTTTTTCATTACTCCGATGAATTTGGGCAAAATCGGCAACTTTTGAGCCACAGCTATTTGCCTATTTACTGGCTTGCCTACAGGCATGCCTCCTCCTCTCACTTATCTGCTTATCATTCACTTAATAACTTCCCGACTTTATTATTTGGCTGAGGTTCAGTTAGGGATCTGGATTAGGATTCAACAATGCAGAGTCATCAGTTCGTTTACTAATTGCAAAAATGCAATCCTAACCGAAGAAAACTAGCAAGAATTCTCCCTTAAAACGGTAATGATATACATTTCGAGTATCCTCTTGCATAATAAATAAAACTCTACGAATTACAATCGGATTCTGTGGAGCTCTGCATCTTCATGCTTTAGGTATCTTAAGAAAAAGCATTTATAGAGGATGGGATCGACTCTAATTACACACAAATGCCGCTGTCGATCACTAATTTCTTACTCCATGGCCTCACATCACAGAGCTTCTTATCCGTTCTGCTAGTTTAATAGCCACTTTTCAACTTGTTTATTTGCAGTAAGAATTAAGAAAATGGGGAGTGAAGTGGTAAAACAATTGAAGATGAATGCTGGCGTCTACAGCGCAGCATTCGTCGCAGACGTACGTGACCACACACACACACACACGTGATTTCCGAATCTAAATAATTTTTTTACAAATTGAGATAGCCAAAAATTGCAGCCTAACTTAAACAAATCTTGGCAAAACTGAACTGCCTCCTTAGGGTATAAACAGATAGGCATGTGTGCACGTACGCAAGTACACATAAGCGGGGCGCCAACCATATCCGTTCCCCTGGAGTCGATCTAATAGTTTACCTATGGTTTTGCCGGAAGTTCCGGTCCTTATCATCACTACCACTCCCATTAATTTCCAGCTCCTCAGTGCAGACGGGCCTTACTCGAGGTGCCAAGACAGCCGACAGCTTTGCTACACCTCGCTTCATAGCAAAGACTGCGCTGTGGCAGTTAAGTCGAGGTTCTTAGGTCAGTTACCGCATGCTCCTTTTCCGGTGGGAGTATACTGCCTTGCTCCGCCTGTCTGTATATCTAGTCAATTAACTCGGGTTGAGAGGGCAGGCACGCGTGCCCACGCGCATCGCCTGTCCGTCTCACTACGCTCGGGTCTTGTGTGCGCGTCGACCGATCGATTGGCCTGGGATTGCCACTTGTGGGACAGGGCAGGACAGGCCTGATTTGAGCCAACGCCCACCACAAAAGAAGGCGAAATAGCCAAACGATACTAGGTCGCAAGGTTTCATTGTCACTTTTTCGCCGATTTTTTGCAGAACGGTTACCTAATTGCAAAAATTCCACCCAAGCAAATGAAAATAACGCCAAATCTGCGATCCAAAGATATGGAGAGCTGGTTAGTATAACTGCCTAAGATATAGCAATACCCAAAATAACCTCCAAGCCTTCCGTTATCCACTTCCTCCAATACGCAATACTCACATATACAAAGGGTTTGCCCCAACAGAGACCACTCATTTCAGGGTTCGACTCCGCGGTGACGGTACGACAAGATGTACCGTGTGTCGAAAATCACTTTGATATAGTAATGTACAGCCTATATTGGTCAAAAAACAAACTCGAATTCATAAGTGACCTCAAGCCAAGAGCAGGAGTTCCCACTTACTGATTCAGCTGGTAAGTAGGTTGGTAGTTAATGTGGTAAGTCATTTATGCACCAGTTCCACGTGTAATTCACCTAATTCAGTCGCAGTTCACAGTAAAATGACCCACCACTACAAAAAGCTAACTAATGACGAAAACCTAGCTATCTTTCCGCAATTTCTTCCGCTACATATATGGGCTTCCAAACGAAATGCTTAGCACTGATTACCCTCCCTTCAATGATTTGCTGATTTATTTGGTAGAATGGCAAATAACATTTCAAGAAAAGTCAACAAAAATGTTACTTCAACAACCATTCATAAAATTGAAAATGCTTTGAATCCCCTCCATATCCATTGTTTGTACTAGATAAATTATAGACAAATTTCAAAGACAGTTACCCTAAACGCCTACAAATTAAATTATAAAATCAACTGCTTCACATGGTCGCATTCGTAACGTTTACATAAACAATGGATAGATTCTAATAGGATTTCATTGGGCACTATTGGAAGGCAGTCTAATTGATCATAATGCTATAAGTTTTGAAGTCTATTTTAGAGATCGAGTGTATGAAAGAACTTTAAAACAGTATTGTACAAACTCAGTTTGTGGTCGCTCTTTGAAGACATCTTCTCATGTTGATATTTTACGACAGTAATTGATTCGGGGATTGTGTTCAGGTGTGTGCCAGTCCAAAAAGCTTTACACTTCTCTATCACTGTAACATTCGGATCCGCAAATCAGGGGTGTTCGCATACGCATAACTTCGCACCCAAATACACTGCCCTGTCTGAGCCCCTCTTATACTACTCCAAATAGAGTGGCTCTCTTAACTCTAAGTACATTCGTTTTTACTCCGCCTTACTTGAAATGGTAACCCCTGGTGAAAATTGAAAAGCCACTGAACTAGACTCGGTACTACTTTATTATTAAGTAGCAACACTATACTTTGTTTTGGCATTCTTTGCCCGTGACGTTGTCTTTTCGCTGTGCCAGAATCAAAAACACCCTTTTTCCATTAAAGGGTATCAGAAGTGTCAAGATCAAAACCACAAATGTCAAAACACATTTGAACTAAATTCCGTGACTAGAGAAAAGCTGTTTGTGAAATCGAGTCGAGTTAAAAGAGAGAATTCTTTTCTTCTCTTTAAGTTACAAAGTTCTGCTTGTCTTCACTCTTGAAGAGCAAAGTAACTAACAGTTTGTTCCAATGACCATGTATTGTTGAGCAGAGTTGCGAACGTTAGTAAAACTCAAATGATAGGGTATTGGAATCTCGGAGACTTGAAGAATGAGCTGTCCATCTGTATGAAACTTGGCGAATTCTTACCTGCTTCCAGGAGAATTTAATCAGATTAGCATACGCATTCGGGAAAAATAAAAATGAGATTGCAAATGGTAAAGATTTGTCATGTCTCGGCACAGTAGTCATTCTTACTCATACAAATTACGCATGAATTGAATTACGCGCAATTTGAAGTGCGAAAAATATTTAAAAGATCAAATATCTCACTGGAAGGAAATGGTGTTTGAAAGGATTAAAGTCAAAGATTAATGCTATCTAGAGGTGTAATGGGACCAAGTTAATTTAAAATATCTACTACACTTTCTGATACACATTAAAATGATTAATTTAACGATAACAAATATTAAATGCATCCCCAATAAGATTCAAAAGCATACTTTTTCCATCCCTTTCGTTAAGTAGCACTGTTTTGTCAGTCTAGCTTGCTAAACAATTCCTTCTTTATCCATCATCGGTTCGCGAGAATACGAACCTCCTATAGCGAAACAGGGTGAGTGAGCTAAAAATGTGGCGAATACTTTTTGCCACACAATCACTGTAGCACCTAAGCTACCTTTTAAGCCCCTAAAGACTTAATCGGAACCATTAACGGCTAATGTAGGACCATGATGTATTAAAAACCAGAAAATCAAACAACCACTGGCTTTCAATGGTGTAATTTTCAAAAGCCTTGGATTAAGTACAGAGTTCAACTCTGCTGTTTGCAGAAATGTTCTCACTTCATAAATGAAAACAAAAACGAGTGGCTATACCATGAGGGAAATTGTTGAATTACCAATTCATGGAAAGGACACTACTATACTTTATTGAAATTGCACCCATATTCGAGTTGACTAGGTGTGTTTTAGTTCTTGTTTGTTCTTAAAAATGACTGCCTAAGTTTATGAATGAGTAGAAATTTAGTTCTTAGTCTAGTTCTAGTTAAAGGATAACACTATCATTTTGACTCATGCTTTAATCCCTTCAATTTGAGTGGGACGGAGAAAGTAGACACATTTGCTACTCGTTCTTGATCCAATCGAGTTCATCCACCTCTATGCGTGACAGTTGCATGCCAATTCACACACAGGCATCCAGACTATAAAACCGCGGATCGTGGTGAGCAGAGCCCATGGTGGACCATGAGAACACAACTTCTGTTCTTACTTACTTTCTGCAGCCTCCTCGTGCTCTTTGCTCAGGCTGAGGCAAAGTGCCTACGTCGACCTCATCAAAGGGTTGTAAAGGAGGGGGAAGTCAGTAAAGGAGATGAGGTGGATGGTGAAGATAGAGACGATGAATCTGTTGGCGGAGATGAAGGACGGCCCCTACCTCATGAGGTATCCCATGAAGGCAAACAGGAAAGTGAGGATAAGGATGCCGATAAAATTGCAATTGAAGGTGTTGTCCGCAAGGTAGCTCATTTGGGAACTGGCAAAAGTCAACATGCTGATGAAAAAGCCCTATTTTATGAAGAAGAGGCTGAAGATGAAGGTGAGGATGATGAAGCCGATGAAGATGAAAGTGATGAGATCGAAGATGACGATGGCTACTATAAGATTGACAAGAAGACCATGGATTCGTTTTGTAATCAAATGAAACGCTATTGGAGAGAAGTTGGACATGGTATTCGAGATGAGTGGTGCAAATTGAGGTCCATGTTCCCCAACATTTGAGACTTGGTCATAACTGAATCTCTTTTTCAAGTCAATAAAGTAATATGACAAAGAGAGGGCTTCGTCTTTTTCCTGCATTTAAGCTTAAGAGACGTTTTTTTGCAACTTGATGATAAGGCCTTCATTAAAGTAATGAAATATTTCACACTAACTTACCAACGGGAGCAATGTCAGCACGAAAACTATGCCTACTGACTGGTTTACTCTCTAATTAAATAGTAATCCGCATGACAATAAAATTTTTATTAGAAAGCGTTAAAATAACGAAGCAGGTGGCGAACCAACTCTTTAGAAAAATGGAAATTCAAAGTCTAATTGTACTCCCTTTTCCCATTTGTCTACATAACCCAACATTTTTATGGGTGAATAATGGAGTTTCTTTGGAGTTCTATAGTCTCTAGTAAGTGAATACTCTTATTAATCGTAAATAAAGACTACATCGATAACTGCGAAGTTTTAGAAACCTTCTCACATTTCGAAGCATCTCTTAGTGTTACACACTTATCGTTTCGTCTAACGTGAAAACCGCTATAACATAAATGCTCATTCTAACTGTATGCAATTCATATTCCTTAAACACTTTGGCTGTCGAGATTCTCGTCGAACTTTGAAGTGCTTGCAACAAATTTTTATTTGAATAGGCAATTTTTTATTTATGCTGTATAACCGGAGGTCCTCTCATCACTCACTTTCCGGATATTTGGCTGTCAGGTCCTACTTTGATGCTGTTTTGTATTCTGTCAAATTCATGGCTCAGTGCGTCTCTCAATCGAAGTTGTGACAAAAAAATAACATTGTCGTCTGAGCTTAAGCAATCCATTTTCTGTATTCTAGCTAGTGAGGCATTAACTGAATGGTAGATGTCGCGCTCTCCTCCACTGTTGCTTTAACTCTTACTAAAAACATTTTCAGTCGGGATCTTATAGCAGAAATTGAGAAAAGCAAAATGAATTCCAGTCACTGAAAAGTTAGTTATGCCCTGTTTCATCCATTCACTGGTTTTTAAGTTATTTCCAATCATTTTATGGGAAAACAACTGTATTTCATCGTTTTTTTGTAATAATTTTGACTAACACGTAGTAATTTGTAAAGTTAGAAATGTTGGAATGAAGGATTTTAGCTCCCTAAAAATGTCACAGTTGATAGTAGCAAAATTTACTCACTCAACATTTTCGAATTTGGATAACATTTGGAAACTATGGCCCTTAGGTTGATCCACCAGTTTCAAGGGTTCAGTTACAAATTGATCATAAATAAAACTACAAGTCAACTTGTTGATTCAGGTAATCTTGGAATCATTAGTTAATTTAGACAGACACATTCTGGGTAGTAGGGGGAAGGCAGGGGGAATACAATGCTATGCCGGTTAATTCAATTAAGTGCCCGAGCACGCCAGATCAAGAGGACCGTTAAATGGGACTTGGTGGCATTGTTATGCGACAGCAGTACAGGAAATCAAGTTCTACCACCAGGCAGTAATGTTGCATACCAGGATAGGCAAGGGCTTTCGTACTTAAATTACGAACAATCATTAGTCAAGAAGAAATTCTTTTTTTTTTGCATTATTTTTCGACGCACTAATACTGATTCGAATTTGGTAATAGGTAAATGCGGAAATAACCAAAATAATTGATTTGTAAAAAACTAGTGTTTAAAACTTGATAATTATATTATTTGCTGAATAATGGGTCGACATGTACCAGAAGATTGTTTCTCTTAATAACTATGTTAATAACATCCGTGCACTCAGCTTTTACTCCTATTGGTTATTCTATATTCCTTTCCTTTTCATACATTACTGTCCTACAACAGGCCCTTAAGTATTTCATGAGTTGGCAACTAATGAATTTAAATTCATTTATATACAGACGTGACAGTGGACCATAACTGGTTTTGAAATTTGTTAAAATGGAGTATGGACGACC